TTTTCAGGAGCACACGGGACCATGAGCATGGAATCAGGCAATTATGACCTCATGCAGAAGCTGCCTTATGGATGTAATCCGCATGTTGACGCAGAACTCCTTACAAAGTGGATTGCAGAGAGAGAGAGAGAGAGAGAGAGAGGGAGCGACGAATCGCAATCGCAAAATATCCAAACATGTGTTGCCCACATCATGTGGTGTCACAGGCCAGCTTGGGGGAAATGATCCACGAGTTTGCAGAGCAGCTGTCAAGCGAGCAAGCCAACAAGGCAGGGCAGCGGGCGGATGCATTGCCGTGCGTGCAGGAGTCTAAGCCTGGATTCTGCAACCAGTGCGGTGTTTGTGATGTGGAGTATACCTGGTCCAGGCTTTCGTTGATGTAGTCTGCCAGAGTGCGAACAAGGGTAAAGACAGCGGGCAAACTTGGGGTTCGATATTGCGTATGTGCGGCAGGCCAAGATCGACACAAGATGTCAGAAGCTGACGCGGCGGTACCTCACCCTGAAAGCAGAGAAGGCCAGTCGGCGGTTGGGTAAGCAATGTATGCTTTGTGTTGACGGTCGTTGGTATTGCGTTGCTGCTCGCAGGCTCACCAAAATGGGGGGTCATGTTCCATAACTTCCGAAGTGCGGGTTTCATTGTTGCAAAATGTGCTGCAGGAGGCATTGCAAAAGCAGCTGGGCAAGTTTGAGGATGGCCTGGCAAGCACAACCCCGAAGGCATGACAGCGGGCGGAATGCATTCAGTGCGCGAGTCCTTGACAACCGATTCAGTCCCAATAGCGAAACACGTTCAGGCCCATGGAAGGCTCACTGTGCTTTGCTGCACGGGCAAGGGGAAGTTAGCAGGGTTCCAGATGCAAGCAGGTGACAACATTACAATTGGGCCCAGCGCATTCTGCATGTGAATTTGGATGCCCGTCAGGTTCAGGTTATCTTTCTTTGAGAATTTGGATAGAAGAAGGCGCCTCATCCATTAGGGCACAAAGCTCCCAACCTTGATTATGAGATGTAGCCCATATAGCGATCCCCCAAAAAGAGAGTAAGGGTAAGGGGGCAAGGAGCCACCAAAGCAAGAATCGCAACCCTCGAAATTTCTTGTTTGTGGGGCTTTTGGAGCCCCCCGCCATTAAGAGAGACGTAGCCCCCTGCACCTTCTTGTTGAGGAGTGTTAGGACCCCTGAAAATCTCCACTTCAAGAAGTGTAGCCCCGGAAGGGCCAAGCCAAATAAGCAATGGCCCCGCACAGTCGGGTATTCTTCATTTCCCAGCTAGCTGTTTGGTGTTATCCAGCTGACGTAGCCCCTGCATCTCTTAACGAGTCATTTCTTGTGCAGTGGTTGCACTGTATTGGAAGACCCTGCATCCCCACAGGCTGAAGTGACAGCCGCCGCCACCGCCGCAACTGGGTGGCAGCGCTTCGGCGTTTTCCGCCGGAGGCGGAATTCACTGCTGCGCGGCCGCGTCACGCCACAGGCGTGCATCGGAGAGTAAGTCACGTTGCTGATGTTGTGCTGCATTGAAGTATTGTAGACGTTGCCAGGTCACTGCAAACAGCATTGCCCTCGTCAAGGAGACACTGCGCTGTTACCAGCTCTTTTGTTTCGTAATCGTTTGCGTGGGAGTATCCCTTTCATGAGATGGGCAAGCTGGCCGCAGGAGGTGGCCGCAAAGTACGCAGAAGATCATGGGCACAAGCCCTCGTGTGCAGTAGCTTGGTGAAGCACTGTGGTAGACCGGTAGACAGTGGGAATGATGCAAATGCGGGTGTCCTTATCCTGGCCGTAACCGTTTGCAAAGGAGCATTTGGTCGAGTTCTCCGAGAAGATTGGCAGCAAGGTCGCCTACAGCGTCGCCCGGTGCCTTGTCGGCAGTTTTGATGGTTTAGTGATCGTTCGAGTGTACGGTCCTTGTCACCTGGCTCCTAGGCACTTGCTTCCCTCCCGCGATTGACTGACAGGGCGGCGGACAGAACGGGCAGAGTGTGTGTTGTCATTCTTGTAGTAGCCGGTGCATAGTTGTTTGGCCGGGACCATGATCCTCTTTGCAAGTCAGCGAAGCCCAATTGTCCGCTTCACAAGCTCACAGCCTGAGCCTAGCCATCCGAAGAATCATGTGACATCCACCAGCTGCAGGTTTCTCATGCCCTTTTTCTAGTGTAGATGCCTACATTCGTTGGCCTTCAGACCTAAGTTCCTGCCGTGTCTTGTTATCTGGAAGCTGCAAGCTGCTGCGCTGTCCCCTTCAACCTGCATTGATGGCCGGGCTTTGACCCACGGGCTGTCGCATCTTGAGCTTTTGCATCAAAAGGATCAGTATGCATGCAGGAATCTGGGGCTCGATTCAGTCTTTGATTAAGGTTGCACAGGTACCATTGTGTCCAAGGGACGAGACGAAGAGATGTGAGTCAGCTCCGGATACAAGATTTGGGCCTCAACTGGGATTATGGCCATCAGTTTTTTGTTCATGGTCCAAAGCTGCTTATCAAGCTTCTCGAAGAAATATCAATCTGAGGGAGAATAGGTCAATATGATAAGAACTGATGTATGGTCGCAAGGATGCACCAGGGTGTCTCTGCTTGCTTGCTTGCTCGTTTGATATATGCAGTCAAGGTAGCATGTGAAAGATCCTGTTGATGATTCTCATACGGAGGGGAAGCGTGGCAGCAGCATGAGTATTTGATGCATGTAGACCCATTGGGTATGCTAGTATTCATAATGTGTGGAACAAACGGGGGCAGGGGATATACACTTTCTTGATCCGTACCGTTGGGCTTAAAGAATATTATACACCGGCTTTTTCCTAAAGGGTCTGCCCAAGAGGGGCATCCTGGCCGAATCCAGGTTTCAAGTTGGGCTTCAACCCTAAATCATAAGAATGGCATTTGGCTATTCAAAGTTGGCTAGAAATGATGAATTCTGGTCGCTCGCATTTTTGTCCTTGAACGACGAATTGTCAATTTCATATTTGATATATGTTGATGGAACAGTGGTTGTGAAGGGACTTCAGAGGTAGGCTTCGGGAGACAAGCCATGAGAAGGAGGCTCGGGGCTGTGGAGAGCTTCCAAAAGAGTACAAATAGATAGTGAAAAATCGCAGTCGCAGCCCGGAAATTTGAAATCGTAAAGTTGGATCTTTTAAGATATCTATATTAGCTTCTGAAAGGGAGGCAACAGCCGGGCTAACCCAGGGCACTCCGACCCAACATAAAAAGCAAAAGCAGGGCACTTCGTGCAAACATGAATAGATGGGACATAGTAGGCCTGCCGGTAGGAGGTTTAAATAAATTGATCTTGGACTCTGCGTACAAACATAAAAAGACGTGATATCTGCCGGACTCTTTACGGACGATTTGCGCTGGCAGACCTAAGAACCCCCACTGTCGAAAACATGGTTTCAAGTTGGGTGCATCAAATACACATGGGCCTAACTTGGACCCAAGAATATCTCTCCGGTGAAATTACGTTTTCAAATTTCCGGAGAAATTATGGTTTCAACTTAGGCCTAAGATAGCCCCTCCAATGAAATCATGATTTCGAGTTAGGCCCCAAGATCTTTTCGCGGCGAATATATTCTGGCTTTAAGCTGGATAAGATAAAATGGTCTTGCCGGGGAAATTATGCTTTCTTGCGGGGGCCTAGGATGGCTTTTAGACTGAAATCGGGGAGTAGGAAGCTAAAAAGTTGGAGTATGAATACTTCAAATGATAGAAAAAGGAGCATTCTTAAAGTTACGACCATTATAGAATATGATATTCATGAATTTTTCAGAAGGATTATGAATTTCAATGATATCATCATTTTTCATTTTCTTTAATATTTTATACTATTATGAATTGATATATATATATATATTATGACCCGGAAATTTCTGTCATTCTTAGAGTACTAAAAAAATTTTATCGTTTGTCGAGAATGTTGATGCTTTTGATATTTCTATTCTTTATGTTTAGTTGATTCTCTCTTCTCGTTGTAATATTATCAGATTTTGAAATTTATGTTGGTCTCGAGTTCTTCCGCGCCGCGCGGAGAATGATTGCAGGATTCTAGTATAGAGAATACTTATGATATCTAGCTATTAGTAATAAAATCGAATATATTTGTAATGCTCGACCTCTAAATGAAATGATTTTGGAAAAAAGATATATGAATAACATATTTTTCGTGGAAGCGGGTATCCCTTTGACAGAGAAAGATTGAAGTCACTCAAAGACCGCCGCAGCTGTCATTGGTTGTTTTTCTACTCTTGCTGTGGTAGACCAACAGCCCGCTGCCGCTGGGCCATCATGAACTTGCCTGGTGCCCCAGCATAGCGTTCTTTGCACAGGGACTTCAGGTTAGCTTGGAGAATCCTAAATATTTTGGAGTTTAGGTGGAACTAACGGCTCCTAACGGGTACCATTAGCCCCGATCAGACCCCATACCATGTATTATATAAAACAAATGGTGCCCATACACCTGCATACCCTATGCGCTTATCCCTCAGACCCCTTCACTACAGCTGGTCGGGTGCAGGCTCCCTGCTCGACGGAAGGGTTTGGGTTGAAAGGTCGAGAGGGGGCCAGATTCCTGGTTTCGAGATCGCGCAGAAGTAAGGTTTAAAGGCACCAGAAGGCCAGCGTGCAAATAGTTTCAAACGGCGTCGAGGTAGATGCCTAGAGCGCGTTGTTTGGCAGAACACTCACTCCAATACAAGTAGTCTACATCTCTTCACTGTGCATTCCGCATGTCAAGGAGTATTGGAGGAACTTGGGAAACATGGTGCATGTCAGTCCCGCAGCAGTTGTGCAGCTCACAACTGCTTGTGTCATCGCATGAACAGCAATTGACTCGGAATTCTGCGCTCCCCAAGGGAAGAATCTTCGATTACCGCAAAGACTCCCGCATGGAATGGGAGGGGATTCCATGAGGAGGCTTACCCATTTGAATCCAGGCTCCCGTAACCCACCATCTGGATTAAGCATTCTTTTTAAGAGACATCCGCAGGCCTATCTTTGATGCATCCGGAATTCTGCCTGCTTTGAAGCAGATTAGAGGAGATGACTTATATGCATTGACTTTATCCTGCACGGAGCATAAACTATTAGATGGGACTTCTTCTTTGCATTGTCAGGCAGAAGAACTGCAAACCGTGCCCTACACCAAATGTATCCAACCACTTGCACCTGTCCAACGAGGCTGCAGGAGCTGTCCGCAGTGGTAAGCTCAGTTTCCATGGTTTTCCAGAAGCCAAAATGAATGCCTAACCGTCAGCTTCAACGTTGCCCCAGATCCTCCATGTAAGCCCGGCGCCTGAAACCTTCACCGTCAGCCCTGAAGATTTCATGTTCGGGACCACAAACTAGAGACCCCAATTATGGCTATGAACCAACATGGTTCCCCTAAACATCCTGTAGAGGGCCTC